TTTGGGGAAGTAAAAATATATCAAGGGTTCATATATGTTCTATTATTCAACTCATACATATTGGGTTTTACTCAGATTCTGATTTAAGTCTATGAATCGATAAAAGAAATAACCTCCGCGTTTTTTATTTTTGGTTTTGTTGCTCTTCTTTTGATCTTTTTTACTTTTTTTAATGTTTCTTGGAATCTAAAGCTGCTTATAATTGTCGAAGAAAGGTGTGGATTTGAAAGTTTTTCAACTGAAAGGGGGGAAGGAAATCCCTCGGTTGAGTGTCTTTTAAATGAGTTTTTGGTAGTTTGTGTTCAAATATTTCGTGTTGATATTCGAACTAGAACAATACGAAGTACTTCCTTGATTTGAAAGTTTTATGTTTTCTTACATGTTTTTTTTTTAAGGTCCAAAATTAAATTGAAACCGTAAAAATCATAATACGGTTAGTAGTGTATGCACATTATTCGAGATCACTTGCTTACACGTAGCAAGTTCTCACTAGTTGCACGCTTATGCGCGCACGTTTTTTTTGCAGGCCCACATGCTAGCAACTCGCTGTTGTTAACCGGAGGAGGTCATTTTGGTAAAATCGCTCAGCCGCCTTTGGCTGACAGAAATGTTATCGAAATAATCGACCTCGACAAGGACGATGATGGAACCAAACCAAACGGGTCATCAAACGAGACAAATCCCGAGCAGGGCTCGTCATGCAGCAAGAGGAGACGTTCGGATTTCATGGAGGATTTAGTCTCGAGTTGGACTAATAAGTGGAATAAGAACACGAACACGGACCACGAAAAGAATGTCAGTGCTTTCAAATCGAGTTGCGATCCAAAATGTGATTCTCAAACGCCTCACAAGAAATCTGGACTAGGTGATAACGAGGGTTCGAGTGGCTCGGATGGGTCATGCACGGACTCGAAAATGGAGGCCTTTGTTGAGTCAGTTCAAGGTAAAAAAATAAAAATAATAATGAAAAAACCGGTTGAAAAAATAAAATAAAATGGAGCTTTATGAGTTAGGTGTACCTATGATGTAAATTTGGCTTTTGACAGTGGTTTTAGGTTAATGGCAAAGAAGCATTAGGAATGTGGGGTTTTTTGTTACAGAAGGGAGAAAATTTGCACTTTTGGTCCTGTAAATCTTTAGTGTTTTCAATTTCAGTGGTATGTTTTGCTGGATATTCTTGCTAATCTTGAGATTTATTTGTAATGAACCTGCGTTTCATGTGAAAGGGAAATAAAACAGCCATGGCTGAGAAAGCTTGGTATTGGTATTAGGCTGAGCATGGGACTCGGAGAATTCCGAACCATTCCGACGGTTAAAATACTCGGAGAGTTTTTTCGGTGTGTTAATCTGACGGTTAAAATATGGTAACAAGTGCTAGTTTTAGATGTGATTGGATTTCTTGATAAAAACATAAAAATAAAAATAATAATAATCACAACTCATATTTAATTCAAATTAAATACAACTTTATTGTGCTCAATATTATTAATATAATTAAATAATATCAACCAATTATTCTTACATATCACGTTAACTTTAATTAACTCTTTGTGCACTCACATAATTTTAATTATCTATAATTTTTAATCACATTTCTCTTATTTTTACATAAAATCAACTTTAATTATTTTATTTTAAATATTATTTTATTACAAAATCAAAATCTCACTCAAACTTAACATAATCATTTTTTTTTCAAAATTAAACATTTTTAATAAAAAAATATCTTTTAACGAGTTTCGATTTGATCCATATTGCATATATTAATAAATAAATAAATTTATTTTAGTTTATTATAAAATTAAATTATCTACTATTAAAATATAACAAAACTAATTAAAATGGATAAATCGTACAAGTTTAAAATCTCATTTTAAATATAAATAATAATTCAAATTTGTAAAAGTGTTTTCAATTTAAATAAAAAACTTATCTCTCACATGTTTTTAAGAAATTCAATATAATTTTCTTTAAGTAGGACCCGTGTACTTGTCTAATCTGTTGTGCTAGGTTAATATTATTCCAAAACAAACATTTGAACATATAAAAATAATTAAGTTCTTATTAAAGCTAAGTTATCATCAATTCTTATATTTTATAAACTTGTAAAAAGTATATATCTCTACTATACATATAACCCAACAATGTTGGGTTAATATGGTGTTGACACCTGTCTTTTTGTTACCAAAAAGTCTTTGCTTGGGCAATTATTTTACTTATCTACCTGCCCCTTTACTTTATGTACAGTGGTATTGGGAAGCACCGGGAAATCTGCTGGAACAGAGGATGTACGCCATATCTTAGTGAGATCCGCAGAAAATCTGTATAATTATTTTCCTTTCTTTCATCTTTCTCTTGCCATCACACGCAACAATCACCTCACCAGAGTAACCTCACAAAGTAGATATCTCGGTCAACAAAATTACACACATCTCCACTTTTTCTCGCTGCTATCCGATCTCCTCAAAGAAGACCCCAACCCAAAATTCGGGCATCGATGATTTTCTGGTTGCAATTCTCAGGGCCAACCCCATGCCGATCTCCTACCCTTACAACGCGTGGGGGACGAGATCGATATTCAGATCAGAGAAGCTCTGGTAAAATCTCATTGTCTAGGACACCGATTACGACGTCGGAGATGCAGTCGTAGTCGGAATAGAAACTGTGTTGGTCAGGCTGAGGAACTGTAGCGATCAGGTGATGTGGAGCTCGCGGCGACAGTCAATGTGATTTCTCGAGATTTATTCAGGAGAAGCCATGAAGAAAGCCGACGAATCTCGAACTCCAAAAGGGAAAGAGGTAACGTTTGATTTGAAGTTGTTGCAGTTCTATATTCATCTCTAGATGGGGGCAATTTTCTAGAACGCAAATGATATTTTGTAATCCTGAAGAGCAAAGGGATTGAATCCCATTTTTATTTAGAACAAAAGACCAGACAAGAAATAAGTTATCCTTAGATGAATTCGAGAGTTGGATGTTAGCAATGGCTAAAGCCTAAACGATTGATTCCAATTTTGAATAGAGTTCTGGTGGAGATAAATTGCCCCCATTAAAACCACCGCGGGTATATTTTTTTTGCTTGTGTTAACTGAACTTTTATTTTGGAATTACTTCTGACTTATTTCTAATGTCATATTCCACCTTATGCTTTTGATTGTTTATATTTTAATATGAATTACAAGAGATATTTAAAATGCTTCATGTTTTCTAGATTTTAGAGGGTGTTTTGTGAAATTAGATTAGATGACTAGACCTTAAATATTTTGTTAAGATAATGTTTTT